TAAGAGATATCAACATGAAACTTTGTAGGTGAATAGATCTCAATGGGTAGATGTGCAGTATATAACAACAATAACTCTTTTTGTCCTAATTTTGGAGTTATTGCCCTTTGTTAATTTGAACCCTTTGAACTTTGTCCGAAACATAACTCTAAAACCATAAGAGATATCAAAATGAAACATTGTAGGTAGATAGATCTCATTTAGTAGAAGTGCAGTGCAAAAGAACCATAACTCTGTTAAGCCTCATTTTTGAATTATTTCCCCTTTTAGAAAAATCTTGTTCAGGACATAGCTGTAAAACTATAAGAGATATCAACATGAAACTTTGTAGGTAGATATATCTCAATGGGTAGATGTGCGTGCACAAGAATCATAACTCTGCATTGCCTAATTCTGGAGTTATTGCCCTTTGTTTATATTTACTTTTTGAAGTTGTCCGGGATATAACTGAGATATCAACAAGAAACTTTGTAGGTTGATAGGTCACATTGATTAGAAGTGCAATGCAAAGAACAATAACTCTTCCATTCCTAATTTAGGAATTATTGCACTTTGAACTTTTTCCATGGACATAACTCTGAAACTACAAGAGGTGTAAATTTCTGTGTCCAAAACCTATTCGGGGAGCATCACCCGGCTCAAACCGGGCTCTTGTTTATAATTTTGCACATTCGTGATGATCAGTTTTCAAAACATGTTGGCATTTCATTTCCAAAATGAGTTTAAAATTATGCCCCAGTGGTAAACTGACACTTCAATAGCTTATTGCTAACCCACTTTTACTTTAGACTGATAAACTTTGACAGTTGAATGGAGCATTGTCCGCATATCCTGCCGTAAATAAACATACGCCAGACCAAGCGGCTACTTTAAAGGGATTAACTTTAAATTTTCAATAGGCCGTTGTTAATGTATCCGTCCCTAAATAAACATGCGTCTGACCAAGTGGCGACTTTAAAGAGATTAATTTTGACAGTTGAATGGACCATTGTTAATGCATCCGCTCTTAAATCAACACTCGCTAGACATTGCGACTATGATCACGTTCGGTGCACTCGTGACCAAATCTAAATATAGCCAAGAAAGTCATAGCTCCGAGCATGCGCATTAAGGGAGTATACACTTATGCAGTCATTTGGATTCGGGTCAACGAGGAGTCAACAAGTAATATTTTTTATTGAATGTGTAAATAAGAATTTATTATAAACATATTAAAAATATACTTAAGCCGTTTGTATTTTTTTTAAACAGATTCTATTTTATTCGAACAATGATTTTATTAATTAATATGTTTTAGTTAAGCACGTATTTATACAAAGGTAATCTGTAGTTATAATAATGGTGATTATCTCCCCGTCTAGGGCCGAGGACCTGACCTACAATGTCCGCGATTCAAGCCCTAAGATCGTGTATACGAGTCAGCTCCGTATACTTCCTGGAAATATTTTTATTTCTATTCATAACGTGATGATGTCATTCTTAAAATAGAATCCAAAATGGCCGCCAAGCGTCTGTTATTCAACACGGCCGCCGCGCATGTGTAGTGAGGTCATTTCTTCTATGCAAATAAGTTACTATTTATAGAAAACAAAATGGCCGCCGCGCATGCGCAGTCATGGCACCAAACCGACGCCTATACTACTTACACTTACTTTTTGTAAATGTATGTTCAAAGTTGACGAACTACACTTACTTTTTGTAAATATATAGTTAGGTGTTAAAAAATAAATTCAAACATTTGCCTTTGATGGTAGACTCCCATTATCAGTCATTTGTAAGGAAAGGTCTATAAAATTTTGGTAAATCTTATGAAACTCCCGACTCACCTATGTATCTGCTATAAAGAGACCTATGTAATAGTGTAAACACAAATTGTTTGGCTTCATAATTCCATTCATTTATTGATAATTTAGGTCGTACAAGTATTCGCTTAAATTATGACTACAGTGCAAATTATTTATATTTGTTTATAAGTAGGATTCAGGACCAGTCTATTCAAGATTGGAATCGTTCAATAAATACTTTGCCGTAATTACACTATTATTGCCAATTTAAACAATCTTTTGAATTTGACGATAAATAAATTTCATAAGCAATGAGGCTACAAGAAAATTTCTTATTCGCTTTAGACATAGTTCGCATAGTCTGGAAATTGAACAAGCAAGATTTAATATGATTAATATATGTAACAGATTATGTAAATTATATAATCAAAGTGTTATTGAATCAGATTACCATTTTTGCAAAGTTGCAATAAATTTTATGATATGGAGAAGACAATGTACTTAGGAAATATCACACGACTAAATCCACAAAATTTTAGCAGCTAACTCGTATGTCAACAAAAAGTTAAATTAAACTTTACAAATTAGCGAAATTTATAGTAGAATTGTTGAACTGTAGAAACAATTATTTTAAATTTCTAACAGCTTCTTATCGAATAATTAAATGCTTATCTCTGAAGTATAGCATTTTAATGATATCTTTTTATTCACTCAAACATGCGTACAACATGTAATATGAGGATAAATGTCAAAATGAGGCTGACTGATTTGTAAGAGGGGACGAAGCCCCCGAGTATAAGTCAGATTGCCGAGTGTTTTGATGTTCTCATAGTCAGAAATAAAAACATGTTCCCTGTCGCCAAAGAAAAAAGTAACCAATGTACGAGCATTCTGAATATGACTTGTAAAAAATTGCCACGTACTTCACTTCAGTGTTGTTATATTTTCTGGTCCTTCGGGATCATTGATGCCAGCACTATTAAGTGTTGAGATTTGAGTACCGCTCAAGCCGGTGCTAGGGGGCGTGGGGGACGTTGCACTTATTCACTATCCCTCATGTACAGACTCAATCAAACCGAGTCTGCAATTCTCTTGTAATTTTGTTGTGATTAATGCTTCCGAGGGATCACTTTGTTTCCAGAATTTTATACTTCACAACAGCAGGTGTCAAGTGCCGTGTGGCAGCTGTAAAAAGTTGCCCCGTACTTCACTTCAGTGTTGTTATATTTTCTGGTCCTTCGGGATCATTGATGCCAGCACTATTAAGTGTTGAGAATTGAGTACCGCTCAAGCCGGTGCTAGGGGGCGTGGGGGACGTTGCACTTATTCATTATCCCTCATGTACAGACTCAATCAAACCGAGTCTGCAATTCTCTTGTAATTTTGTTGTGATTAATGCTTCCGAGGGATCACTTTGTTTCCTGAATTTTGTATCGTTATCCTTTTCCCTGTCGTCGCAATAAGTAAACCCCAGAAAAAAATGAGCCAATCAACACCATGCTCTAGACATACAGTAAGTTCGGGTAACAAATACCTGCCGATAGAAAACATGTAATTAATGAGAATATCACTAAAAACCATGTCTCAGAATAATACAAAATCACAACTGACTTTAAAATGCAAACATAAATATGCGATAACATTCTTACGTTTCTTATACATGTAATTATCATTAACAATTAACACAATTTAAAGAATGCTGACGAGTCTTTTTGACATTTGAAAAGGTTGTTCTTATTTATTCATATACGGACATCTATAAAACTAGAGTTTAGTATATTATCTTCTTTCATTAGAAAATCTATTAAATTAAAAAAGATTACGATACTCATCACCGATTATGTTTCTAAAAAAAATGCACATTCTTTCATTAAGTGGTAAATTTGTGTAATTCAAAATTTCAACTGGTACTATATGGTTTATTGTTCTTAATTTGATAAAATGGTAAATTACTGTATTTTAGGAGTACGAGAGATAAGGTTCAATTCCAAAAGACAAAAAAATGTAAAAAAAAACTACTGCTCGATTCATTTAACTTTTAATACCATTCATTTAAGATAATATCTTAAAGCTTTTGTCTTACTGTTAATTTCAACCATTTGGTACCGGGAAAATTATAATCATTCCAAACATGGTTGAAACCGCATTTTATCAGTATTGATTTAAAATATGTAAATCCACGGATAATGGATCATTATTATATATATTTACAGTATTTCTTAGCATAAAATTATAAACAAATTATGACAATTTATTTAATATTAAACCATTTTCGTTCAGAAGGAGGGGGTCCAAAAAGAAACTATTCTTTACCCGATACCTACACATAATTGCATGCATACGGTGGCATAAAAGTGACATTTGTGCGCTTTTATTTATCTAGTGCGCACGAGATAATATGTGGTGGCCACGAGTTACTAAGTCTAGGCCACAAGATATTTAAGTGGTGCGCACGAGATACTATGCCGTTGTCACGAATTACTAATTCGTGGCTACGAGATAATTAAGTGGTGCGCACGAGATACTATGCTGTGGTCACGGATTACTGTTATGAAATTAGGAGATAAAGTAATCTTGACGTTATTGAACGCATACAGCTTAAATTTCCTAAATATATCTTAAAACTTAAACGGCGAAACGGGATGCATGTACGGTGGCACAAAGGTAACATTACTGCGTTTTTATTTATCTCGTGCGCACGAGATCCTATGACATGGCACGAGTTACTAAGTCGTAAGAGTAAGGGAGATATTTTTTCTTCTTGACGGACACCGATATTACATGAGAAAAACTTAACTTTGACAGTGGAGAATTTACATTCAATCATGATTTTATTCCTTTGTATATATTTTGTATAACCTGCAGACATTATCCTTGTATATAAGCACTAATTAATTTATATTTTTCCCCATAGACCGTTTCTCCACACAGTATCAAATGCCTGTTTTAAATCATAGGATTTTTCCAGTGTTATTTAAATATCTAATGATATGTTGTAAAATGAATATATTATCAGAGGTTAAGAAACTTTCGCTAAATTCTGCTAAAATTGTGTAGTTATAACTACATGTATATCATTTGTTTGATTTCATAAGTTAAAAATGCCTTTATAATTATATTGATATTGAATGTCCTTGCCATACTTGTGTATACTTGTCAATTATATGAATAATAGCCGAGGACGTTCCGATTGTACTTGTTATTATATATTCAACAAAAAGAACATTGCTATCTGTTTTTGCATGTTAATCGGAAAATCTGCTTTAAAATCCCAGAAAGAATTTATAACTTAGTAAAGAAACAACTGTCATTTATATCTACGAAATCCGGACCATTTTGAAGGGAAGATATTTTGTTAACGAGAAATGGGTATTTAGATATTCTATTACTTAATTTAATTTTTGTGAGAAAGTAATAAACCGGAAAATTCTTTAAGGTAATCACTTACATCGGTTCATTAAAACAATTAAGTTTGTTTGAACAATAATCTAAACTTACCATTTCAGAAAATTTAACATTAAAAACGACATATGAAACTGCCGTAATAATTGCAAATTTGAGGAAATATTCATGATCATTTTTTTCTTTAGCGTTTTCTAAATGAATGACGGTTTCAATACACTTGGAATTTTTTTCGTATACGCATTAGCATTTGTAAGCATCTGAATTAGTATTTTTCTTTAAACAAATGTGTATTTAAGAAAGTAAACAAATATGTATTTAAGAAAGAGCTTTATTGAAAAGCCCGTAATGTATATAAAATCAGTAAAATGTGACAATCAATTTAAGGTTTATAATGGTTGTTGGGACAATAGCTGCGGTAACTGTTGTAAGCATTGGTGCAGCGAATATTAAACCAATTGCTGCTGGCGCGACGGCTGGACAATCATTTGGATCAAAGGCCTCAGGTGCTGAAAGGGGTTCAGCAGTGAAAAAAGCTGTGTGTGTAGGAACAGCTGCTGGGGCGATAGCAGGAGCTACTGCTGTGGCAATGGCCGGAACGGGTGCAGGGGCGGGTACTATTGCATCTGGTGCATTAATGGGTGGTTTGGCCGGAGGAACAGCCGCTGCCGGGATGGGTGGTGTAAATGTTGGAGTTGGTACGTTACACCGATTTATTATTCAAAGTGTAACTTATGAAAGTAGGTTTTTTTTCTAGGGAAGTTAAATTCTAATGTACAACTTTCTGAACTATACATACTGGTATGTCAAGAACGTTCAAGTATTCTTTACATTTTTAGCTCACCTGTCACAAAGTGACAGGGTGAGCTTTTGTGATCGCTTTTCGTCCGGAGTCCGTCCGTCCGTCTGTCCGTCCGTCCGTCCGTCCGTAAACTTTTGCTTTAAATGACATCTCCTCATAAACCACTGAGCCAATTTCATCCAAACTTCACAAGAATGCTCCTTTGGTGGTCACCTTTAAAAATTGTTCAAAGAATTTAATTCCATGCAGAACTCTGGTTGCCATGGCAACCGAAAGAAAAATCTTTAAATATCTTCTTTTAAACAACCCTAAGAGCTAGAGCTTAGATATTTGGCATGAAACATCTTCTAATGAGTGTCTACCAAGTTTGTTCAAATAAAAGCCCTGGGGTCAAAATTGGCCCCGCCCCAGGGGGTCATTGATTTTCCCTATATGCATATAGTAAAAAGTTAAAAAATCTTCTTTTAAAGAACCCAAAGAGCTAGAGCTAAGATATTTGGCATGAAACATCTTCTAGTGACTGTCTACCAAGTTTGTTCAAATAAAAGCCCTGGGGTCAAAATTGGCCCTGCCCCAGGGGGTCATAGATTTTCCCTATATGCATATAGTAAAAACTTAAAAAATCTTCTTTTAAAGAACCCAAAGAGCTAGAGCTAAGATATTTTGCATGAAACATCTTCTAGTGAGTGTCTACCAAGTTTGTTCAAATAAAAGCCCTGGGGTCAAAATAGGCCCCGCCCGGGGGGTCATTGATTTTCCCTATATGCATATAGTAAAAACTTAAAAAAAATTCTTTTAAAGAACTGTAAGAGCTAGAGCTAAGATATTTGGCATGAAACATCTTCTAGTGAGTGTCTACCAAGTTTGTTCAAATAAAAGCCCTGGGGTCAAAATTGGCCCCGCCCCAGGGGGTCATTGATTTTCCCTATATGCATATAGTAAAAAGTTAAAAAATCTTCTTTTAAAGAACTGTCAGAGCTAGAGCTTAGATATTTGGCATGAAACATCTTCTAATGAGTGTCTACCAAGTTTGTTCAAATAAAAGCCCTGGGGTCAAAATTGGCCCCGCGCCAGGGGGTCATTGATTTTCCCTATATGCATATAGTAAAAAGTTAAAAAATCTTCTTTTAAAGAACCCAAAGAGCTAGAGCTAAGATATTTAGCATGAAACATCTTCTAATGAGTGTCTACCAAGTTTGTTCAAATAAAAGCCCTGAGGTCAAAATTTGCCCTGCCCCAGGGGGTCATATATTTTCCCTATATGCATATAGTAAAAACTTGAAAAATCTTCTTTTAAAGAACCCAAAGAGCTAGAGCTAAGATATTTGGCATGAAACATCTTCTAGTGAGTGTCTACCAAGTTTGTTCAAATAAAAGCCCTGGGGTCAAAAATGGCCCCGTCCCAGGGGGGTCATTGATTTTCCCTATATGCATATAGTAAAAACTTTAAAAATCTTCTTTTAAAGAACCCAAAGAGCTAGAGCTAAGATATTTGGCATGAAAAATCTTCTAGTGAGTGTCTACCAAGTTTGTTCAAATAAAAGCCCTGAGGTCAAAATTGGCCCTGCCCCAGGGGGTCATAGATTTTCCCTATATGCATATAGTAAAAAGTTAAAAAATCTTTTTTTAAAGAACCGTAAGAACTAGAGCTTAGATATTTGGCATGAAACATCTTCTAGTGAATGTCCACCAAGTTTGTTCAAATAAAAGCCCTGAGGTCAAAATTGGCCCCGCCCCAGGGGGTCATTGATTTTCCCTATATGCATATATAATTATAGTAAAAAGTTAAAAAATCTTCTTTTAAAGAACCCAAAGAGCTAGAGCTAAGATATTTAGCATGAAACATGTTCTAATGGGTGTCTACCAAGTATGTTCAAATAAAAGCCATGGGGTCAAAACTGGCCCCGCCCCGGGGGTCATTGATTTTCCTTATATGTGTATAGCAAAAACTTAAAAATCTTCTTTGAAAAAACCCAAATAGCTAGAGTTTAGATATTAAGCATGAAACATCTTTAAGTAAATATCTACAAAGTTTGTTCAAATAAAAGCCCTGGGGGTCAAAACTGGCCCTGCCCCAGGGGTGTAATTGTTTTTAACTATATGTGTATAGTAAAAAATTAAAAAATCTTCTTTTAAAAAACCCAATGAGCTAGAACTTAGATGTTTAGCATGAAATATCTTCTTATTGGTGTCTACCAAGTCTGTTCAAATAAACAAATAAAAGCCCTTGGGTAAAAATTGGCCCGGGGGGGGGGGGCTATATACAGGTGAGCGACTTCAGGGCCATCATGGCCCTCTTGTTTTTATTCTAGGGAAGTTAAATTCTAATGTACAACTTTCTGAACTATACATACTGGTATGTCAGCAAACCGAGCCTGCAACATTTTCAATATGTTGTGTTGGAATTTCTTTAGGGATTCATATTTTCTCTACTTTATCGCCACATCAGCGTTGTTTGTGCCGTGTGGAGGCCGTAAAAAGTCGCCCCGTACATTCAATCAGGGATGTTATATTTCCGATCCCTAAAGATCGTTCGGCACGACATTATTGTTGTGCTTGTGGTATTTTTAGTTTTAATTTTTCGGCATTTTCTAGTTGGGTGGTTCCAATATTCCTACTTGAATAATGTTGAATCACCCTTAGGATATGTTGCCTGCTTTTTAACTTTGTCTTTTGGCGTATTATCTGTGATATGCAGGCTTCACAACCTCTGATCCCCTTTCAAATTTCCATTTTATTTAGTTCCGCCCATTGTTTTCTCGTTTAGGGCACACGCTTTCTATTACTTGGGGACCATACGCCGCTTTTCATGGAATGGCACGGAAGTGTCATGTTGAAGGTTCAATGATAATCGCCGTATGAACACATCTACGGATGTTTCTAAATTCAAAATTTTACCATTTCATGTTTAAATGTTGAATTCTGCTTAAGCCGGTGCTACGGGGCGTGGACGGTAGTTTGCACTTTACATTACCGTCCATAAACAGGCTCAATCAAACCGAGCCTGCAACATTTTCAATATGTTGTGTTGGAATTTCTTTAGGGATTCCTATTTTCTCTATTTTATCGCCAAACCAGCGTTGTTTGTGCTGTGTGGAGGCCGTAAAAGGTCGCCCCGTACATTCAATCAGGGATGTTATATTTCCGATCCCTAAAGATCGTTAGGCACGACATTATTGTTGTGCTTGTGGTATTTTTAGTTTTAACTTTTCGGCATTTTCTAGTTGGTTGGTTTAATATTCCTACTTGAATAATGTTGAATCACCCTTAGGATATGTTGCCTGCTTTTTAACTTTGTCTTTTGACGTATTGTCTGTGATATGCAGGCTTCACAACTTCTGCCCCCTTTCAAAATTCCATTTTATTTAGTTCCGCCCATTGTTTTCTCGTTTAGGGCACACGCTTTCTATTACTTGGAGACCATACGCCGCTTTTCATGGAATGGCACGGAAGTGTCATGTTGAAGGTTCCATGATAATCGCCGTATGAACACATCTGCGGATGTTTCTAAATTCAAAATTTTACCATTTTATGTTTAAATGTTGAATTCTGCTTAAGCCGGTGCTAAGTGGCGTGGACGGTAGTTTGCACTTTACAGTACCGTCCATGAACAGGCTCAATCAAACCGAGCCTGCAACATTTTCAATATGTTGTGTAGGAATTTCTTTAGGGATTCCTATTTTCTCTATTTTAATGAACAAATATTGAATATTATCATAAATAACAACAGTATCTGAATGAAGATAATATGTGACGTGACAGAGTTCAAATATGACTTTGGTACTTTTTAAATTATTAAGCTTTTTAAACTTATTAACATGTTTTTTATGATAATTATGTTTATTATCAATATAAAATCTTTGTGTAGACATGTATGTCTTATTGAAGATCACATATTATGACTGTCAAAACTTCGTTTAAAACTATTTTCCAAAGTGAATTCTAAAATGATTTTTTTTATAAATTCGGAAAATCGGGAACATACAGTACATTATGGATGTACATCATTTCAATAAACAACTATCTCTCTCTCTTCTCTTTTCTATTTCAGATTCGCTTTTTGCAAATACACGTATGAGCACTGATGACTGGGTCTTGTTAACTGTTGGTGCAAGTGTTAATCAAGAAGATGATGAAATAAGCTATGATTGTTGGAAGCCTGTGGTGCATGATACGTCACCAGAAAGATCAAATGGGATCCTCCTGAAAGACATGGTGTGCCATCCTAATGTTGCAAACGTTACCATGACAACGGGAATATGTGACAGCCTTCCGAGTATCCTCATTGAAAATATTTGGAACGAAACGTTTGAGATCGAATATGTATTTATACACAATACGGGCAAGATAGTGTGCCATGCTAAACATCTTTGAATATGAAATATATAGGTAAATATAAAAGGGACTCCACTGAGGTTTTTTTGACATGACGGAACTGGAAATATATTTTTTTTTGAAATTATTACTCCATTTGATGTCGATCTATACTAATAATTTATGTGCAAAATTTCAGATCATTTGCGCGCTCTGTTTTTCCAGAATAATTAATATAATAGTGAAAAATGATCCAAAATTAAAAAGCGTTAAAACGCTTTTCAGTCAAATCGGACTGAGAATAGCACACAAACATATGATTTTCAATGTATTTCTTGTATATGTCTTGATTATATTTTATTTACATTTCTGTTAAAATGTTCCTGTTTATCAATATGAAAAATTAAAATTTAATGTTTTTAGGCTTATAAACCTCAGTGGAGTTCCTTTAAGTATATGTAAAACAAATAAGAAACCAATTTCGCTTTGTAAAATGAAAATATTCTTGTTTATTATATACTTATAAATGAAATATTGAGAAATATTGATGAAATAAAATGCGTATTTTCATTTTCCGTATTTTCACTGTAAAAATTTATTTTTCACTGCAGTGAAACATATTTTCCGTATTTTCACTGGTGTCTTGCCGGACTACTTTCTTTTAAATTCTACCAGTACACAAAATTTAAGGGAAAGTTTTTCAAATTTTATCGCAAAAAAGAGAAAAATGTACATAATAAACAGAAAATTCAAGTTTTTTCTATAAATACATGATTTATTTTCATCTTGTGGCATGAAAATTACCATATTTCACTCGTGGCTACCGCCACTCATGAAATATTTATTTTCATACCACTCAATGAAAATATATCATGTATTTATAGAAAAAACTTGAATATCCTCTATTTATTTTATATATTTTCTTTGCTAACAGGACATCAATGTCAATGAGGGTATTATTCATTGTTGAATCCAATACTAAATTATATTAGACGAGAACACAGTTGTCAAATCTACATTGGACAAGGCGCTACTAGGTTTTGCAGCTGTTTACGTGTCTCGTAGAAACATTATTGTTCTAAACAATGTCTAATGACCTCTTTATTTGACATTTATGACATTTTGACAGAACTTAATACATTAAGGAATTGATATAAATATTTTTTTAAACTTGGCTAGATGGAATACAATATGCATTTGGTAAAAATAATTAAGACTCCAAAAAATGAAAAAGAGGCTATATGAAGTGTGATATGCATTTGAAATAAAGATTTTGGACTATAATGGAAAACGACACTTATGCCAGAAATGTTGTGTGATTTGATATGGATGTTTTAGACTCAGTAAATTGAAATGAGGCTAGATCCGATATTAATTTCTATTGAAACATCGCGTGGTCAAAACGCTGAACGTTCATCGGTTTTATTTTGTAAAATTTGAAATAATCAATTATACTTACCCGGTGATATACGAATGAATTGATAAATGTGCTTGCCTAATTTAAGAATCAATATCAAACCTGTTTGAATGATACTAGTAATCTAAGCTCGGAAATGCACTGATTAAATGCACATTTAGTAGAGGAACACAATTATTCCATCCAAATTTGTAGATGTCTATAAGACAGTTTTTTTTCTAATCTAATTCAAAGATTTTTTTCCAGTTTAAATAAGTATTTGAAATACCATGGTGCTGTATGTAAGCACAGTGTGATTTGTTAAATTTCAAGATAAACTAAAAGCTGACATTAATATTAATTGTTTTTGATTTTCATTTATTGATATGTGTATATTTTCAGATGAAAGGAAGTTGGAGTTAAAAGGTGTGCACTTTTTTTTTACTTCCAGGATTATACAAAGTGTTTGCATTTATTCCGAGACATTTTAGATGACATATTATTTATTTTGTGTTATATTTGCATTTGCATTTACAAAAATAGAAGTCTAAAACTTTTCATCAGATAATTTTATCAGATTAGGAATCTTACTATTGTAGGTTTACTTTTTTCTTTTCAAAACAATCATTACATTAAGTGAATTATGTTAACTATGTATTTTTTTAAGATATATATAAACATGCGTGTAAGTTTGTGTATGTACGCGTGCACATGTACGTGTGCGTTAAACTAACGAATCGAATTATATTTTTGCATATAGAGTAGAGTATCTACATTTTGACTCAACACTATAAAAAGAATAATCGACATGATATAAAATGTAATGGTCACTCAACAGGGTCTAAAGAAAAAGTCAAATATCTTGGTGCAACCAAAGTTTGTCCTTTGAATCAATGGCCATGTCGGTAATACAAAAATCCAATGGTTTGTTAAAATGTCTGTATAAGAAGTAAGTTCCTGGATGATATTAAAAAAACTTCTGGTCTCCTCGCTTGTCCAATGTAACTTTGACAATGCCTCTGTTGCTTGATTTATTGGTTTGACTCAGGCTTTGAAAAATCAGTTACAGTTTACCCATTATAAATTGATAAGGTTTGTTCTGGATCTGATCATATGTAGGTCTTGACCAGTTTTTAAATGGTTACCAGTTGCGAATTACTCTTTCTCATGTGTATAAAACCCATTCTGTCAAGGCCCCTCAGTATCTAAGAGAAAAAGTTCACTCCAGTATGTAATATTCTCTAATACACCTTTTGTTCAGGGTAACAGTTTGTCCATCAATTGATGGTCCAGAAAAACCATTTGTTGATAGCTAGAGATGTACTGTTCCTGTGTGGTAAAAGTATTTGGTCAAAGACTTGAAGTTACAGCGGTTGCTGTTAATGGAACTCTCTATCACAGATCAAAAGGGATGCCTATTATATTTCTGTTTTAAACGTAGAGTTAAGAAGCATAACCTTAGTACAGTTTAAATGTATTATTTCAATTTGTCTTTAGTAAAATTAAGTACTGAAATTTCTATTTCTTATGTTATAAGATTTTCTTAATTCAACATTTAAATTGTATACTTTGATTATGTGATAATGTTTTCCATTTTATTGTACATTGTACTTACTATATAGAAAATTCTTTTACTCAGTTTATTCCTTGTTTCGCATTTAACACAATCTGTGATGCTATTATTATCAGTTATTAAGTGATAATTCTTAAATCTCTGTTTTTACTTATTATTGATGACTTATTTATTATTTATGTATTTTACTGTGAAACATATATGTTCATAAATTATAATTTTATTATGTCACAAAATGCTACAGATTAATGATCACAGTGGAAATAGAGAGTCATAACGATTATTTTTGTATTATCCATAGTATACGCTCGTATAATGTTAATTGGCATGACTTTGTTTTCCATTCATTCGTATTTGTCAATATAGTTTTGTATATGATTTAGGACATGACAATGCCATTAAGATGTACATTTTATGTTAAAATAAATTTATCTATCTATAATTCTATCTATCTGTCATTAATGGGCGCGTGTTTAAGTTAATACTTTCAATTTTCAATCTTTGAAGCTTGTCTATTAAGACTTTAGAACTTTCATTTTATGTAATAATTTAGCGTATGATCAGTATTTATGCATGAGTGCTAAAATCATTCTTATGATATGCTGCCAGCTTTTTATTTTTGTCTCTGTGATACGCAATTAAATAAATTTCAAGGTTTCCTCTTTTTGACTATTTTGTTGTTGCTTGTTCTTTAAAAGTGCAATACTAATCTACATTAATGATTTAATCACGTCTTATCCATGTGTCAACATCCCGCCTACAAACGGCTCGACATTCATTTTATGTCTACATGATGATTTTTATCTATGGTTACTATAAGATAATGTGAAATAAGATAAATAAAGGGGCAGGGGAGATATCCGAACGATGGCCCCGGGTCAATTTTTTTAATAACTCAGACATGGTGTTTTGAAAGTACTGGAAACTCTTGATATTTCTTTGTCATTGTAATTCTTTCTTGTTTGTGTGTAGGAAATGAGAAGTATTTTTGGGGTTTCTACCCGAAACTAAACATTTTGGTAGCTTTGTATGTGTTTGTGACTCTCCGATTGGAGGTGTGAAGCATTATGTTAACGAAAAAAATCTTTTAATTATGGAATATGACAGGCCTTTTGATTGGTTGTTTTGTAAGGTTATAGGTTAAATGATATTATGACAGGTTAAAGGTCAAATTGTATTACTACGCTAGTGCTTGTAAATAGAATGTTTTGGCGCCATTCTTGTACAGTTTTGTCAGACACGTTTGAGATTAGACGCTTTTTCAAATTTGCCACTCCCACCTACCCCTAGTTTTGTTTTTAATTTTTGCTGTTTTGTTATTTTTAATTTGCACTGTTTATAATGTTTTTAATTTGCTTCTTTGTGTTGTTGTAGAAGTAACGTGCCAGCTTCCTTTTATAAGCCCGTATTTCTTCTTTCATATCTACGCTTTTGCCAACCATTTTCATATACATTAGCCAATGATTATTTTTATTCAAATGACAAATCATCTACACATTGAGAAGCATGTGTATTCATTTTCTAACCACTCTTAGTACAGAACAAGTAGAATACACAACACATAAGTGTTATCGGCTACTTTCAAAATTTATAATCATAATTATGTAACGTTATCATTGCTTTAGCTCGAGTGCTGTATAAAGTAATCTCACCATTACAAATGACTGTTTGTGTCAGGTTAATCATTACCTGATATCTTCATAGGCGAGTAATAAAGGTGTTTTCGTTGAAATTTTATTGACATAAGTGTTATAAATCTCCCCGTACATTTAATCAAAGATGTTATAATTTTCGATCCTTGAAGATCGCTCAGCACGACATAATTGTTGTGTATACATGTTATGTGGTATTTTTAGTTTCTTCTATTTGACCATTTTAAACTTGGGTGGTTCCAGTATACCTACTTGAATACTGTATAATCACACTTAGGATATATGTTGCCAAATTTTTTAAATTGTCTTTTGACGTCTTGTCTGTGATATGCATGCTTCATAACCTCAGATCCCCTTTCGAAATTCCATTTTATTTAGTTCCGCCCATTGTTTTCTCATTTAGGACACACGCATTTTTTTACTTGGGGACCATACGCAGCTTACTGTGTCACATTGAAGGTTCCATGATTACCGCCGTATGAACACATCTGCGGATGTTTTTAAATTCAAAATTTCACCATTTTTGTGTTTAAATGTTGAATTCTGCTTAAGTCGGTGCTAAGGGGCGTGGTCGGTAACTTGCACTTTCCAGTACCGTCCATGAACAGGCTAAATCAAACCGAGCCTGCAACATTTTCAATTTTGCTGTGTTGGGCTTTCTTTAAGGATTCTATTTTTCTCTATTTTAATATCGATGGGGAACAGTTTTATATAGTGCCTTGTTAGAAAGTAGTTATAGGGGATTCTCTTTGCGCGACCAAATACAGATAAAAAATTAATATATATATATATATCAATTGATTTTGTTAAACTATTTATCTTTAATGAATTTCAAAAATTAATATTCGCATATGATGTAACAAAGTTAACATAGTAGCTTATATGATTCAAAAAACCGTTTTAACAAGTGTATATGATACTAAAAAAATAAAATCCGGTGACTTAATACACAAGCAAAGCAACATTTTGTCTAAAGACATTCTCCACCTCGTCAATATGAAACAAAAATATTTCTGACCAGTATGATTGTATGAGTTGCATTTCATTAAATGTACAAGTCATTGACAGTTATCTTATTAAATAGTTCTAGCTTCTAGTATTTCTTACCTTCGAAGACCTTAAACACCTGGTACAAACCCTTTCCTGGTCGTATGAATTCTACCTCCAACTTACGACTATGCTTCAAGAATAGTCATCTGTAACAGTATAATTTTCTTCTCAATCATTTTACATTTTTAACAAATACAAAAATTTAATGACTAATATGTGCAAGTTTATTAGCTGCGACTAGACCTGACACCCAGCACCGGCTATTACCACTTTTATTCTGCTATTTTCATCGACTTGTTTACAGCAGGGTCTTTCAAATCCTCCGTCTATAATCCAGCCCATGAACTCTATATCTATCTATCTTAATGTTTTACATGATTAAAGGTTTATATTGTAAATCAGTCTACATAGTGGTTAACAAGCTCATCATATGTGTAGCCATTTGATTTGATTTCAATTGTGCTTGGTATACGACGCAAAACATAAGCGACGAAGGTTAGAAATTAAGAAAGTGGAAATCATCGATACTTAAGGTTGACGATAAAATATACCTAAATCAATATGCTGAAGCAAAACATTATTTGGATAAGATAGCATTGTGACACCGCACTTTGGGGCCCAACTTACTTTGGGGTCCGACCCCGAAGTGCGTTACCTTCTTTGGTATCCGACCCCAGAGTGCGTTACACTTTTTGGAGTCCAGTTTTGACCCCAAAGTACGTTAAACAGGTACATATGCATTTTTTAACATCAGGCAAACGACCGCACTTTGTGGTCATAAAAATGAATTATTATTATGTTTTAAATAATATATTGTAGTCAAAGTCAATGGTAAACAAAAATCAAGGTATTAAATAGACGCAAAACATGTGGCCTGAATTATAGTAGAATCAATAGGGATTTTAAATAATCTTGATCAGTCATCAAATAAAGAATTTTTATCAATCAATAAGAAAAAAAATCTTACATTTTCTATTTATTTTAAAAGAATGTACAACTTTCATTATCTCCATTGTTGTAAGCTAATTTCCCGTTTTTTTACATTTATGCATTTTTACGTTTATTTACACATTTTATAGAAATGTGATAGCATAGACAAAGGTATAAATTCTGGGAAATCTTAATAAGACCTTTGGGTAAAACAATGTGCCTGATAATATGTTAAAAGGGCCATTTCTTTAGCTTGTTAAAAAACTTGACTAGGTATAGATGCGTCCTTAAATAGTAGTCCATACAGGCTGTACTCAAAAATATCATAAACTATTTTAGTAGTCACACATTAAGAGCGGGGCTTCATAATATTGTAAAATTCTCACTGGCGAGGTCTAGAGGTGTCGATCCCCCAGAGATTATAAAGATTTTTTTTATTTTGGACCAGGCCTTCTTCTATAGTATCCAAAAAATAGTCATTGGGCAATTACCTGAACCATCTTTTTCATCTGTTGCTTTTTGGCAATGAGTACAGTTATAGTGAATTAGTATTTTATATGGAAGTTGTTTACTTTGTTTACATTTTGCTACTTTTATGACAAATCATTTAACATTCATCGCTACTTTATTCAGGTAACTAGCATCTTACATTTCTCTGATACCATTATTTAAACATTATAAAATTCATGCTTGCCCTTTCTAAAGAAGTATGTTTCCCTGCGAACAGTTGTTACGGAGCTTACAAAAATACTTAACTTTGTTGAAAAGCTTGTAAGAATCACTATTTGTAGTCCCATCCAGAAACTTGATATTTCACCAGAGCATTGCAATAGAGTATTTTTATAGTTCTTTGAAAAAAGAATTAACTGCATTTTATTTCATCCTCATCATATTTAAAATTGGGCTCAATATGGCACCAAGAGTTATCAAGTAAATGACTGACAGAAAGGGATCTTTTTCGCAGCATCTTTTAATTTTAAGAAATGCATTCACAATTTATTTACTAGAGTACTTTGTTATATGGACACAATTTTTTGATATTTCAAGTGGTAAAATTAATGAAACTTTTATTATTGAAGCATCAAACAAAGTATCGACCGCCATCCTGAACTTCACCTCAAATATTTCAATGCCGCAGATCGAAAATTAGTCAGTATTCAGTATTTAAGCAGAACTCAGTTGACACATCCAGACCTCTGGAACTCAAAGTACGTTGATATGTAGAATATTTACGTACTATGGGGTTAATTTCTCGATTTTGACCCCAAAGTGCGTTAGACCCCAAAGTGTAATGCGAAATGTAACGCACTTTGTGGTTGGACCCCAAAGTGCGTTGGACCCCAAAGTGCGGTGTTACAAGGCTTAATCAAAAGATAATCCAAAATCTTCCAGCACATACTCTC